ATAATGCAAGTGGGCTGAGCTACTTCCATTCCAAGTTGTGTCTTAGTTCGGCTCGATTTAAAGAAAAGATCATATAGACACATAATCAATAAAATGATTGAGAGATTAACGAGATAGTGATTTTCACGTGCGAAGGTTGGTCCAGTACTATTACTATTTGCAGGCTTATTAGTGAAAATATATTTTCTATATAGATGTAAGATCAATACTAAAATAAATAAAAAAAGTTAGGAGTATCGAGGAAAAAATCTTAAATCACCCAGTTGTCTTTGGGGGGACTGTTTAATTTTGGTTCACTTTTTGTGTGATCCAATAATTTTGGGGGTTTGGGCCAAGGCACTTGTTGTAGTATTCCGTATTCATTTGGTAGGTTTATAGTGTGGGCCACCTGCCTTGTCTCTCTTTCCTCTCCAAGTGTTAGTGCTGGCTGCTTTCATTTTCTTGTCGCAATGCTATAATGGAACGCCGGAAAGTTCTGTCCCCTCTATATCTTTTTGGTCTTAAATTAGACATATACTAATATTATAAAATGATTTTGTTGCTTAGTATATGCTTTTAAAAACGAATATGCTCATTAATATTAGCAACAAATGGTATAACTTGATCATGTTGCTAACCAATTTATCAATCTACTAGTTCACCTTTAAAAACTACGAGAGAATGATCAGCGAAGTCAGTTGATTATAATATCTTAAGTTATTGAATTCTAAATTAATAGTTTATACAGATTTGATAAATTTTTTAAAGACAAATATAAGATTTGAATCAAAATTACTGAGTTCGGCACTCACAAACAGTATTGTTGCTCCACCCATGACTCTTACCTTTTTGTGTGTTATTAATATTGGTTAGGTGAACACTAATGGAGTTGGAACTGTAGCACTTGTTTGGTATCATTATGTGGGGACTAGTTGATTTTGCCCCGTTCTTTTACTGTGGCTTAATGTTATATATGGTGTCATTTCCATCAATATAAACGTGGTCAACGATAAATAGATTACATTTTATGCCATGATAAAAGAGTATTGTATTTTTCAGTTTTTCTTTTCTTTTTTGGTAAGGGACGTAATTTTGCCCATTTGCCAAATTCAGCCAGAACTAACACTCTTAACACCAATGCTAATATTGTGTCTACAAGAAAAATATTTAACTCATAACCAGAGTAATATGTTTATTGATGATATACTTATTAGTTGAAAATATGTTTTAAATGTATTAGCACTTATATTGTTGAAAAATTTACGTTTAACACACTTAACAACTTTGTTAAAGATTGTGTCTGCAAAAAAACTACTAACTCATAATGAGTAACAATGGTCATGTCAAACTGTCAATGGACATAGTGAAATTGCTTTCAAATATGCATTATCAAGGTTTCTTGTTATTGCCAAGATATATGATCAAGCATGTTACAGTGATCCGTTACTTCAACTAACTAGCTAGTGGAATTTTACTTGCATCATTGTGGATGGAGAATACACATATTTTAATTGCTTACTTTTATTTTATAGGATCTCAAGAAGTACAGCATTTCCTGGATTCTGATGAATTTTGCACAAACCATGAAAACTGCGAGGCGAGGCATGACCAGATGAAGATGACAAAGGGTTTTGTATCAAAGGAACCAGTCAAAGGACATATGGTAAGTCCTCCATTTCCTTGTTATTTTACATCCATTTTGGTAGGATATGAATGTTGTGAAGATCTTAAACTTCCCTACATTGTTGCTGGCAGGTGAATGTTGTGAGAGGTCTCAAGTTATTCGAAGACGTTTTTACTACGAATGAAATCTCTAAATTAGATGACCTTGTGAATGAACTTCGAGTTGCTGGTCAAAATGGTGAACTCTCAGGTGGATCCTGTGATTCGTGACGCTTTTATAGTTATTGTTGTTTCCTTTTTGGGGCGAAGTTATGAGATAGTAAAAGGACACCTTCTGTAGGTTTGCTGGAGCAGGTTTGAGCATTTGTTTTTTCTTTATGACTAATTGCAGCAGCCTTAAAATCATTGTTTGTGACTTGGTGCTTGAGGTTGATGCCTGACTTTGTGTTCACTTAAAACTTCTCTTTTGCTTATAATCTGATGAATCAAACAAGCACCAAAAACATCAACTAAAGTTAAACTTCTTTTACTTCTTTTTTTGGTAGCCTTGTCAAGTTTTGCGACACCAGCAATGTCAAGTCTGATTTACTATTTACTTCTCCAATGTGTGATCTTGGATAAGTTCCTGATTGATCTGTGACTGTGTTTCAGGTGAAACCTTTATTCTGTACAACCAGCAGGTGAAGGGCAGCAAAAGAGAGCTAATTCAGCTTGGTGCACCAATTTTTGAGCATGTAAAAGAGGACGCCGCATGTCAGAAGAGTAAGTAAAAACGCGTCTTAAAACATACCACCTGTTGTTGCTATTTGTGGTTTTACAAGATTTGACCATTGTCCCCCAATTCTCCTCAACTTTAATCTCCAGTTCTAATTCTTTCATACCTATCATAACTTGGAAAAATGCCAACTTTCAGGTCACAATGAGCCCATTCCAGCCCTTCTGCAAGGTGTCATAAACCACCTGATTCAGTGGCATCTAATATCAGAGAATAGAAGACCTAACAGCTGCATCATCAACTTTTTTGATGAGGTATTTGCATTTATTCTAGAGTTATGTTGGCCTGCAACATTTTTATCAGTATAAAAATGAAGCCTAAATGCTTGTCTGCTGCTATTTTAGGGGGAGTATTCACAGCCTTTCCTGAAACCACCTCACTTGGAACAGCCAGTGTCCACCCTTGTCCTAGCTGACTCAATGATGGCATTTGGGCGAACACTTGTATCCGACAGTGAAGGGAACTACAAAGGCTCGCTCATGCTTTCTCTAAAAGAGGGGTATGTACTTCATTTATTGTAGGTTCTTTACACTGATGAAGCTTTTGCTCTGTAGTTCAGATTGGCTCAGTAATTACAATCTTATTTTATAGATGAATGGACTTTGCCGGAGTTTCAGCCATAACATGAAATATTTTCTTCAATTTTTGTTGAAGTTCCATTGATGATCATCCCTCTAAAACAAATGACCATTCTTATGTTTGGTTTTGCTACCTGTTGTTTAATATTTGCAGGTCTCTTTTGGTCATGAGGGGAAACAGTGCTGATATGGCCAGACATGCTATGTGCTCATCTCCTAACAAAAGAGTTACGATCACATTCTTCAAAGTCAGAACAGAGATGGGAAACAACTTTTCAGAAGCTGCTCCTCTGACTAGAGCCATGACCATATGGCAACCTGGTGTTCCAACACAATATGCAACTGCAAATAGAGCACACAATGGTTATGAGCCAATGGATATGATCCCCAAATGGGGGGGTGTTGTTCGATCTCCGGTGGTTATGCTGGCACCACTGCGTCCAGTAGTTATGAATCCCCGGAGGGCTCCTCGTGGTGGTACTGGTGTATTTCTGCCATGGAATGGTGGATCCAGAAAACCTGCAAAGCATCTTCCACCACGTGCTCAAAGAGGACGGTTCCTTGCACTACCTCCCCCTGGTGACTCGCCTAAATCAGAGACCGCTTCAGAACCAAGTTTGGATCTTGATGGCAAATCCCCATAGATTCTCCAGTTTGAAGTCTTTAAATACCCTTTGTAGCTGAAGGGGCTTTCTCCTACTGTGTACAATGAGTGAGCATGAATTTGCTTTCTTTTTTCTTATGGTTTTTCAAAGGTTTTCCTTCTCTTTTTTATTTACGTAGAGACTAGGCATTGGCTGCTATACCTGTTCACCTATGTGATAGGCTTTAGAGATTACTGAGCTTAGGTAAATGGAGTGTATATTAGCCAAACAACAGGCTGAATTTTGTATTAAAGTTTTCATTTTTACACCAGTCTCTTTTAAGGTCAGTAGGGAATCATTTTAGGTAATTAACTATGTCTGGTTTATGTGGTTATCTGGAATTCATCATTATTGACTGATACAGCCTCAACATCCCAATTTTATAAAGACATGTTCACTTTATAAATCAAGAACTGGACATAACAATCTTGATTCAAACTAGAAAATTTACGAAGAATGGAAATTAGCACAATTGAACTAACTGTATTATTGATTCAGCCTCCTTGGTACTATGTTTTCTAGTTATAAAACTTACATTACCTTGTGAACAAAATACTTGTCTTTAAGTTATCATTTCCCAGATCATATGTTGAAGGCCAGTAATAGTCGTTTTTTTTAGGTAATTATTATATTTGGTTTTCATGTTTCCTGAACCGAATTCCATCTTTATTGATCCATTCACCCTCAGCATGCAGTTTTTGCTTTAAAATGCCTCAGTATTTAGGGCACTTCCAGTATATGCCAAGTGAAATTTGGTCTAAACTTCCTCTCGAGTCCCCAGTCTTGTCAATAGACATGAAGGACTGCACTTCCCTTTTGTATCTAGTTTATACTCGACCACCCTACCTTCTTTCCCTTTTTAATGCCACTTTCTGTTATTACAGATAAACACAACAACTTGATGCACCTTCAGACACTGATTTCCGAAGAAAGAAGCTAGTTATGTTGATTAAGGTGGGGCGCGTTTCATTTCTTCCTCCCAAATAGAAGCTTTATCCAAATGAACATTCTCTGCGGACTGCAGAGTTGCCTTCTTTTATTGTTGTTATGCTTATATAAGTGGCTGAAACTGGTCGACCAACGAGAAATTAAGCTATGATATGATGTGAGTAAATGACCACCTAAGGGAACGTACTAAGAAAGCATTTAATTTGCACAAGAATATACATCAAGCACCGCAAAGGGATAACATGATAGCAGGACAAATACCACATTGTAAGCATTAATAACATGATTCCAAAGAACTGAACACACTTCACAGGGGAGTTCATAAATGCAACAGAAAAATGGGATAGCATTTTGTCTATGAACATCATTGCTTTCATTCAAATTTCCCAAGTATACTAAGGGCACAAAACATGTTCACATAATAAATGAACAGCTGGACATGGAAATCGCGACTATTAAACTAAAAGTTCAATAAAAAGAATGAAAATCATGAAGCACAATTAAACAAACTGCCTGAGGCAATAAACATTATCTTACTTTACTAGGTTTCAAGCTTTAAAGTTTAGTTCTTGAGTTCTGTTGTGTGCTGACTGCTTTGACATCCAGCTTTCTGCATATCTTAAGCTTGATTCACAATCTAAAAGCTTTCACAGGCTCATCATCATCTTCAATCCCAACTCAAATCCTCATCGTCCTCTTCAACACTAAGTCTCTTCCTCAAATCATCTCTATTGGAGCTTGCAACATGAGAAGTTGCCTTTTTGTCATCAATACCGTCAACGTCCTCAATCTCATCCCAATCCAAGTCGTCCTCATCGGCCCCAGTCTTTTGACTTGAAGCAATAGAGACATCACCATTTTTGCCTGATCCATCCTTATCAGTTTTCCCCTCTGAACCTTTTACTACCCCTTCCTCCTTTTTAACCAGAAGAGTAACTTCAGTGTCTTCTTTCTTACTATCTTTGTTATTTTCAACTGATTCTACGACCTTGCTCTTGCCACCACCATCTACATTAGACTGATTCTCTTCTTTTCTATCAACAGCAGCTGAACTTATAGTTTGTGATTCATCACTATGAGTGGCCTGTTTTACAACATTTGTTGAATCCTGCTTGCTTGGTTCACTTTTATCAACGTTGGTCGAATCTTGCTTGATTGGTTCACTTTTATTGGTAGGCACTTCATTTGCAACGTTGGTCGAATCCTGCTTGCTTGGTTCACTTTTATTAGCAGGCACTTCCTTTGCAACGTTGGTCGAATCTTGAGTGGCAGATTCTTTCTTTACATCATTGACAGAGCTTTCAACAACAGAACCCTCTTTTCCCTTCTCATCGACTTTCGATTTGGCAATGCTCTCTTGTTCATTATCGTCTTCATCATCGACATCCCAAGACAATTCTTCTTCATCATCTATAGATATTGCTCTCTTCACAAGATTAGCTCTTACACTCTCTTGTTGCTTAAGCTTATACACTTTATAAAAATATCGACACCAAAATGTCTCATTATCAACTTCATTAGGCACAACCCTTTTGTATATACCTTCCAAAGATCCATTTTCTTCAATCAAAATCTCAACTTCCTTACTCTTCTCTTTCAACTCAAACTCAGATTTCCATTTCTTATACTCCTCCAAATCCTCAGGATCCATACAGAACGTATTCGGATCACTTTGAATATTCATCAATTGAGATTCAAACCGACTGTACCGACCCGAATTCAAGGTCCGATTCGCATCTGGGGTTTCGGGTTCGGCATCAGAGGAAGCGAGAAGAGTATCTTTACCTTGTGATATAATCTCAGTTGTCGATTTGATAACGCCGTCAATTGCGTGGCTGACTGTAGTTCCGACCTCGATCGAGTTAGGAAGATCCTTAACAGCCCGACTAGCTACTTCACGGAACAATTCGGTTTCTTTCTTCAACCCGGATCCGAATTCCTGCAGATCCCGACGGTATGTCTCGAGTACTGATTCCGATCGGGTTGATAATGTCTTCAACAAACCTCCGAAACTCCAAACACCACCATCACCGCCGTCGTCGGCGGTTGAATCAGATCGTGAATTGGGTTTTTCAAGATTCTGATCCGGGTCAACTTCCTTTTCAGGTGATTGTTCCGGTGAAGAATCTTGGGGCTTTTTGGGTAGTGGAGGGTCCGGTTCCGGATCATCTGATAAGATGGATTTGAAGAAATCCATAAATTAGTGAAGCAGTGGAATGAAGAATCGATTTGAGTGTTGTGATTATTCGGTTCTGTCAAAGTGTCAATCTTGAAGACGATGTTGTTGCCAGTTGGCAGTTCCCATTCTCAGAGAAAGACTTCATTGGTGGGCCTTTGTTTTGCTTTGGACTCACTCTTTTTCATATACTGGACTGTTTTTACAATGTTGGGCCTAAAATGTGTTGTTTAAGGGAAAATTTAAGAAAAAAGAGCAACTTTCATATATAACAAACATAAAAATTATATTTGTACGCTATAGCTATAGTTTACATAATTGTGCTCCATAACAAACATAAATATGTATATTTTGCTATATATATATAAAAGAAAGCAATTGTATAATTTGTTTCGGTATACATATACAAAAGATCAATTGTATAATTTGTGTTTGTATAAAGCGAGAAAGAGAGAAAGACAAAAGAAAACTGGGCAGGGAAAGATCATAAGTGTATAGGACGAAAATATGTGTATTTGTATTTGTATATACAATTTTCTCTCGCTTTATACAAACACAAACGCAATGTATACATTTGTGTTTGTATAAAGTGAGAGAGGCGAGAGAGAGTGACGAGCGAGATCTGAGATCTGAGAGAGGGGAACTAAAATATATGTATATATACAATTTTCACTCGCTTTATACAAAAACAAACACATTTTATACATTTGTGTTTGTATAAAAGCGAGAGAGGCGAGGGAGACTACCCAGCGAGAACGAGAGTGGCGAGCGAGATTCACCACGGAGAGAGGCGAAATAGTAACAGTTTGCTATGGGGTACAATTAAATCAAACTATGGTTATATCATTTAATTTAAATTAATAATTTGCTATTATATACAATTTTCCCTATAGTAAATTATACCTATATATTTTTTAAATAACTAGGTATGTTACCACAACTTCAACATTTTGGATTTAATATTTAGTGAGAGACATTCAAATACACATATCCCTAAAAAAATAGTCAAGATTGGTTATATGCACACTTGAAGCATCCCTAATTAACGTCTTCGTTTCAATCAACTCTCTTTCTTACTTCTCTCCCGCATGGGTGAAAAAGAGTCGTCGGAGAATTCTAATGCACTCTTTTTGTCTTTCGTTCAGTTTGATTAGTGCTTCTCGTATTTGCATTACTGAGTCACTTGGTTGGTGAAATCACTCTAAAATTTAAGTTTGACTTGTTTCGTGTATGCATGGGGCAGTGGCGGAGCTAAAATTTTGTCTTAGGAGTGTCAAAATATAAAGAAGTAAAATCGTGTAGAAGCCAAGAAGTGTCAATATATAATATATAAACATAAAACATATATTTTTATTCTAGCTATACAATGTAATTTTCCGATAAAGGGGTGTCGGTCGACACCTCTTAACTCCGCCACTGCATGGGGGCGGGGGGCGATGAGGGGAACGAACACCTAAAACTATATATTGTATGTATGTTATATGCGTACGTCAAGTAGTTGTTGGCGTCTCTATTGAGAGAGTCTCACTAGTCACTGATGAGTTTTTAGATACACATAAATATATCTTGTATATATGGTACGAAAATACATAATCATAAATATATTATATCGATCACACACATTAATATCTAATCCTAATTGAAATCATGAGAATATAGTATCTGATTTTAACTATACGTGTTTCCAAAGCAGAGATTGAATATATGTGACGTCAATTGTATGTGTGACCAACTAGATCCAATTAATATAACGAAGAATAACTTATGTAACTACTCAAACATTGTATGTGTGACCAATTGTGTGTTACACCAACAAATTGATGTATGTGTAACTTACGTAAGAAATGGTCAAGTAATGAAGAATAACTTATGTGCAACAAATAGGGAAATATACGGTTTAAATTCAAGATTCTGAGTACATGAATGGAAGGAACCTGCAAATAGATACAATAATGTAAAAGTGACATTTAACAGAGACATTTATCTTTTGAAGATTGAAATGTGAATTATGCTAAGAAAAGGGTGTATTTGTCTTTTAAGTTTCTAGTAACGCTGAGGCGGATCTAGATAGATTTCCAAGTGTATGAGTTCAAAACTTTAGTCCTTTTTAGTTATTGAGTTATGATCGACAAATACAAAGTTTACATTAAAGATATTAAGTTTGGCAGAATCCGTAATCAATTTCACCCTCGCACTCATAGTAATGGTATAATTTTTTTATATATAATTATATCATTTTAGTATGAAAGAAAATATTTTATGAAAATTTTAATTTTCTCATATTTGATTGGTCAAATAAAAATACTTTCTCAGAAAAAATATATTTTATTTGACCAATCCCATCGTTGTGCCCCATCCTTGTCTAGATTATTGTTACATAGAAATGTTCTTCAAACAACATACTCACTTCGTCCCATATTAGTTGGAAGATAATTTTACCAATTCGCCCCGTAAAAGACTTCTTGGAAATTTTAGGGAAAAAAGTCTGAAATATATTCGAATTTTGATCGAAATTGTTGTAACAATACTGAACTTTGGAAAGGACCTTTTACCCCCTACACTATTTAATAGTGTATTTTAAAGGTATATATGTGTCCACATGGACATCATAAATATTGCATCATTATAAATAGTAATGTGTCCACGTGGGCACATATACACCTTTAAAATACACTATTAAATAGTGCATGGGGTAAAAGGTCCTTCATAAAGTTTGGTATCGTAAAAACAATTTCGGCCAAAGTTGAAGTATTTTTCAGACCTTTTTCCCGAAATTTTACAAACAAATGTAAACACTTTCAAAAAGAATTACTTGAAGGCTAATATAGAAAAAAGTTAATTAATATTTTCTTGATTTAGTAAGATGGACAACTAATATGGAACAACTATTTTTAGTATAACGATCAACTAATATGGGAGAGAGGAAAGTATTCTACTGACTTAATCTACACCAAAAAAAATAAGTAAAAAGATTCACCTCAAGAAAAAACATTTTCCATCCAAGGAAGATGGATAAATAAAGGATAGGATAAAATGCTTTTGGGTAGATAGAGCAAAGAATCACACTACCAAAAAAAAAGGTGTTAATGTTGCCCAACTCACTAAGAATAGAATCATTTTGTTTTCAACTTTTTGGCTCATCATATATTAATAATACACATGCTACTACTTGCTAGTACCACAAACAGTAAGTCCATCAACAACATAAAAATCAATGGACAAAAGAGGCCAAATTCATAATTCTCAATCATCAAGCATATGCAATCGCCTCTTTAACTTCATCATCAACACAATTTGGGTGACTATGGGCAATCAAATCCCTATTGAATCACCAAAAGAAATCAAAAATATGAATGGTGCTATAGAAATCGAGTTCAGACACATGGAGATAGTTGGACCAAAGAAAATCGTGAGCATCAAAGAAACAACTCAAAAAAGAAATGAAGCTAAGCAAATTCCATCAGTACCAACACCAACACCAACACCAACATCGACATCACCAGCAAGACGAAGACATTTTATAAACGTGGCTTCCAACATTAATGAGAAGACGGAAGCCTTCATAAAGAGTAAGAAGGAAGCTTTACGCAAGTCTTACAATAATGATCCGGTCAAGAAAACTTAGCTACTATAATTATTTCTCGCGTATAGTTGTCTTCTACTTCTTTTTTCGTCAGAAGTTATATCCAAGATTTAAACTTGATGGATTTATACTACTAAATACATTACATCTTTATAATTACGCGTTCATGATTTTGTATTTGTTGAAATTTTAGTGATCTTTTCTTTACATATTCAACAACATCGTTGGCTGGTTGATTCATCTTTACGTTGAAATTGACTTTCAAAATCTAAGGCTGCACATCCCCCTAGGAATACGAAAGTTTACTTGTCTTGTGATTGCGTTAAGTCTCATCTAATATATAGATCTACCTGATCGATGAACACTCAAACCAGAGAGAAATGAAGGAGGAAACAGAGTTAACAGAGTATGACAACACTAGCCATCTTAATCAAATTTAAAAATATAGTAAAGCTAATTATAGATACTGTAATTATATATTCATGTGTTGGAACTTGGAAGCTAACAAAAACAAACTATAGTGTAGTATATAAGAGGAATTAATCATTGTGATTCTTTGCTTATAACCATCTTTCTTTATAATACATAAAATGATCATGTGTTAGAAACTAACAAAAATAAACTATGAAGTATCTATTTATGTTCTCACTTTGACAATTTTTTTTAATTTTTTTTTTTTGCTTTTCTTATTTGATGCTTGCTTCTCTTCCTAATGCAAAACATGCTTCCCTCAAACCTTACATATAAATGTTTCAGCATTTGTGCCATGGATTGACTCATCAGAGCGGATCTACAGGATAACATGTGGGTCCACATGAACTCAGTAGCTTTTGCTCATATGTTTTTTTTTTTTTGATATTAAGAAATTCATTAGATATCTATGTATCCTGGATCCGTCATTTGTGACATGTTACTCCTCGAATGAATGTCTAGAGGAACGGTAAAGATCATAAGGAGCCCATAGATGATCAACGCCACACGGTTTTCTTGAATCCAATCTCAACCATGGCTTGCCTTTGCCACTCCAATGTAGAAGGCTAATTGGTCCAGGATGCAATTCCCTACATTTACCTTCAACATTATCACCACCTAATCCATGTTGATTCCATCTATGATCAATTGGCATTATATTTCCTGCTAAAACAAGCAAAAATGGAGGCAATGACCCCAATTGATATATCCTTTTTTGCTTTTGAAGAACCATCCAATCCTCTACTTTTTTCGTATAATTTCCATGTCTCCATTTATCCACATCCATTACCAACACCCCTGTGTTGAAATAACACGGTTTTCGCCCTTCAAATGTTCTTGGCATATACGGATCAGACCAAAACGCTTCAGTAAAATAAACGGTGAAATTTGCTTGACAATATTCGGGTGCTGCCAAAACCTTGTCACCTAAATCAACCTTCCATAACTTCGCGATGTCATCAACCATGACAAGGTCAGAATCAAGATAAATAACGCGTTTCACCTCATTAGGTATCAAATTAGCCAAATAAATCCTCGCGTAATTCAAAGGTTGATCTAAAGCTTGACGTATAGACTTAGAAATTAAGCCACGTACCCTA